TCCATTCATGTCACCTATTAATGTCCATTTAGGTTACTTTTTTATTTACCTGTATGTCACCTTTATTATGTCTACAAATAATTCAAGGGAACAAATGTATCCCACATACCTTCCTCTTTCTATTTTCCCACATCAACAACCCTGTGAGGTGGGTTGGGCTGAGAGAGACTAGCCCAAAGTCACCTAGTTGGCTTTGATGCCTAAGATGGGACATGAACTCATCTTCTCCCGCTTTCTAGTCTGGCACCTTAACCACTAGATCTAATTGACTCACCATCAAAGTGTTCTTACTTTCATATGGACCTAAATTACATAAATGTAAGCTTTCAGACAAATTTCAGTTATTTCATTCATAATTAAACAGACATTTTCACTCCTCTGCATATGTTCATGATTCCATACTACAAGAACAAGTAATTTCATTTACAGATTACAGATTAATAGAGTTGGAAGGGACTTTGTAGGACATCTAGTCCAACCTCCCACCCAAGCAGGAGACCCTACACCATTTCTGACAAATGGCAGTCCAATCTCTTCTTGAAAACGTATGGTGACGAAGCTCCCACAACTTCTGAAGGCAAGATGTTCCATTGGTTGATTGTTCTCACTGTCAGAAAATTTCTCCTTATTTCTAGTTGAATCTCTCCTTGTTCATTTCCACCCATCATTCCTTGTCTGGCCTTCAGGTGTTTTGGAAAACAGGTTGACTCCTTCCTCCCTGTAGTAGCCTGTCAGGTCCGTGTATCTGCCATTCTTCGATGGAAGAAAAGGGGGTGGTGGTTTTGATTCAGTTAATTATTTTCCAACTCGATGAAACCAAAATATCTTGTCTTGCATTGAATCTGTATAACCTTTTACAGGATTTATAACAGTTGCCTGGCACCCCAGATGCCTGAAAAATTCTCACCTTTTTGGAGAGATTGAAAGAGAAGAAGGGGCCATGTAGATTCCAACACCGGAAGAAAACTCTTGGAAACCTCTCTCCCAGAGACAAGGGGAAAATAATATCTTTGGATCTGCGGATTGGTAGAATCCACATCGGACTAGGGGGACGGATTCTAATTCCCTTTATCTGAATTGCACTTGTTTTTTCCCTCTTCAATAAAATATTCCTTTTGAAATATAAGTTTTTCAAGAGTTCATACTTAATTTTGAAGGGGGGAGAGTCTGGTCCTTACACAGCCCCTCAAATATTGGAACACTGCTATTATGTCCCCCCTGGACCTTCTCTTCACTAGACTAGCCATGCACAGTTCCTGTAACTGTTCTTCATATTTTTTATTTAGATTTTTTTTAGATTTACAGTTATACAAAATATCCATTTTTATTTTCATTTCATTTGTTAATGCATGTTCTTAACTTTTAACTTTTCAGTCACAATTTTCTTTATGCTAAAGCACCGTTTTATCTTTTTAACCATATGTCTTTTTCTTTTCATTTTCATTCATCTCTGAGGCATCCTTGGAGTTCTGGAAATTATCATCTTAGTAGCAAATGAAACTTTATGTTGAAATATCCGGTGTCCTGAAATGAGAATATGTTTCTTCTTTGAAATCACTTCTAGCTATGAATAGTCACAGAAAGCCCAGCTTTCCAAACAATTGGCATTCTGTTTAGATATATCTTGATACCATTCTTGATTAGTCGAAGTATTCAGTTGTGGTTCTATATGCTCAGAAAAATGATGAAATATTAATTTGTAAGATTGTTAGATGGAAAGACATGAACAGAATTCTGTTCAAGTATTAGCATTGGTTAAAACATACTGTAGAAAGTGTTCCATTCTTAGCATGCTTACTGCATTTTTAATAAAATCCACTTCTCCTGCCTTCAGCAAATCAAGCAATACTGTCTGAACATCAACATAAATATGTTGTTTTTACATCTTTTTTGTCACATAAATTTTGAAGCCATAAATCTAAAGCAGCCTCCATATACTACTATTCATGCAACAGAATGAGACTGAAGGAATCCAAAGCAGAAGAACCAAGTAAAGCATTCAAACTGAAGCAGAAAACCCATTTTTGAATGTACTCTTTTGGGAGAACTTAACTTATGGAAAAAAAAGTAGCAGAGAAAGAAGGTAAAGACAGAATCTCTCTTCCTGATCTGCCAGTCTGCCTCCCCCCATCAAGAATAATCTCCCTCCCTCCCTGGTAGGCTGTGTTAAGAGGACGTGCTTATCCATGCTTAACCTACTTTTCTGGATGAATCATAAAGTAAGCACTTGGACTGGGTTTATGTGACAAACTGGGCTAAAATGTGGCTGGGCAATTTGTAGTTCAGTGTGTCATGCAGATTCAGCAGAGTGAGATGTAGAACTGAGGAGGTCCATGACAAAATGACTACAGGGGAAGGTGCTCCTTCATCTGTCACATCTAACTAGCATCAGTGTTGGATATCTGAAATGTTTCTTTATGTTTTCCACAGTGTTCTACATAGCATCATATGAGAGTTATTTTGGGAAATTACAATGGCACTTGTTGTGTGCTATTGCCACTCTGAATATTAGACTTTGTTCTATCCATTTATTGAACTGCATAAGTAATACAGGCCTTACACTCAAATGTTTCACTCTACAGAAATATTTGTGCCTCAGTAACCCCCACCCCCACCCCTCAGTTCCCTTATTTTCTGCTTACATTTGTGCTTTTCTAAATGGAAAACTTATTTCTTCTGCAGAACACTTCATGAACAACAGGCAAAGTTGCTACTTTTTAGTTTGTTCATTTATTTTTTTTACAAAAAATATTATTTTTCATTTAAGTTTTGCATTTTTCATTAGCTTAACTTATTGCTTATTCCAATAATATTCCTCAATTGCTATATAATTAATGGAATGACAGTTGAAATTGTAATATTTCTCCATTACTGACTGAAAATAACAGTGCCCATTTCAATGTAGTACAATGCAATTTCTTTTTTACACACACCCCCCCGCATTATTTCATATTTTCACTAGTGTAATATATACCATACTCAGTGTCAGTCTTGGGTCCATCTTGGGACAGATTTCCAGGGCTGCCACAGCGGGGGATGGGCGAGCTGTGGGAATGGCAGAATAGCAAAGGGAGTATATCCATAACAACATTCTTTCACATGAGATCAAGGACGAGCTACGGACACCTGGAAGGGAGCGACCAAAATTTGGTGGCAGCTGAGGCAGGAGATGGATTGGGCCATGTGATGTGAATGTCACTGAATGGGGCAGGGTGTGAGTTTTAGAGTGGGTGGGGGGAAATGTGGGATTTCAGATTCGGTTTTCCCTAGATGTGCCAACATGGCCTCTCTAATAATTTTTTACTTTGATGGACTTTGTCTCAGAGTTCTGAATTGGAAAGAGAGTTTAATTGGAACGCCGACCTTCAGTTTATTAACAATTATCCCTGGTTGATCCAGGAAAAGCTCTTCAATCCGTCGGTGGAGGAAAGCAGCCATTGAAGCTGCTGAAAGGTTGGGACAGCTCTGGAGTGAAGAAGAATAAGAAAGAAAGTGTGTTGGCTCTGGGTGAGATTTTAAAATCTTTTCTTTTTACAAGAGAGCACCCTAAGGGGGAAGAGAAATAATATTGAAGACAGAAGAAGGAACAGCGGCAAAAGTGAACCTTTTGTCTAATTAATTTGGGGTTTTTTTGTTTATTGTATTATATTTTTAAAAAAGAGGATTTTTTAAAATTGGACTGGACTTTCCAATTAATAACTATTAATAACTATTGAAGGACAACCTATTTTAAAGAGAGAAATCAATTTTTTCTTTTGTTAGTTTTTTAAAATTTCTCTCTAAAGGGGATTTTTTCTGTATTGGAAACTTTTTAGATTTTTTTTTTTGCCTTCATTACATTGTAATGAAGTGAATTAAACAAAACAAAATAACACTGCCATCTAGAGGCTTTAAATAATTTTTATGGAATGAATCGTGAGAAGAAAAAAACTTTTTCAGCCAGCTTGTTTACATTTAAAGAAGATAGAGAGCTGAGCACTGAATAAATGTTTATGCAGGTGTTGCTCCTGTAAAACAATCTTAATGGCTGGAGACTGAAATTGAAAGAGAAGAGTTTATTGTGACCTTGGAGTATATTTTGTTGATGCCTTGGATGTTGTTTGGTGGCAGTGATTTACTTTGTCATGAAATATTCAAACTGCAATGCTTTCTTGGCTGGTAGCTTTGTCTAGCTTGGTCTTTCTGGATTTGATTTTAAATTTTTAATTAGGCCTTGGCTTTATTGTTGGAATACAATTTTTTTATTTTTCTTATTTTATTTTATTTTTGATTTTTTTATTCCCTTTCTGGTGGATTTTTTTTCTTGTTTTTTTGTGTGCTCCTATAGAGTTGGTTTTTTTTTTAATTTTTATTTTTATTCCTATTTTTAATTTTACTTTTTTCCCCTTTTTCTCCCTTTTCCCCTCTTTTTAATTGGATTGAGGTAAAGAAGAACCTGAATATTGTTTATTGGCATTGTATGCTGAGTTCCACTGACTAGACTTGCAACCAATTTGAAATGAGGAAGACAACTGCTACAGGTTCATCAATTTCTACATCCTCTTCTCCACTTAGTGGTCAACGGTCAATATACACAATGCTGCAGCAGGAGAAGGAAAGAGAGAAGGAGAAGGAGAAAAAGAAGGAGGTCACACTACAAATGATAATGCAAGCAATACAAAGAATAGAAGACAGAACAGAGAAAATAGGTGAGAAAATAGAGAATATACAACAAATGATGATGAAAAAAGATAGAAGAAAAAGGTGACCAGGGAGACAAAAAATTGGCAAAATAGATAGCAGATTAACAGTTGTTGAACAAGAAAAAGAAGCAGATTAACAGTTGTTGAACAAGAAAAAGAAAAGGAATGTTGGTCTGGGAGATAGACAGGGCAGATTTTTATCTCAGATTTCAAAATATTGAAGAAGAAAAGGGAGAAAACTTGACTGAAATAATGATAGAAATACTGGCCTTGAAGATATCCAAAGAGAAAATGATGGATGGAATAGATGGAGCATACTGAGTTTTTACAAGATATGCAATGAGAAATAAGCTACCAAGAGAAGTCCATGTGAGATTCACCAAGAAGGCAATTAAAACACAGATATTACAAAGTGCAAGAGATGATCCACAGAAGTATAAAGGCAAGGAGATTATGGACTTAAAACAAGTACCAAGAAGAGTGAGGGAATCAAATAGAGAATATCAATTTTTGACAAAAATTCTTGTCAAGAAGGGAGTCAATTGCAGATGGTTGATTCCAGAAGGTCTCATATTTACCTAGCAAGAACAAACACATAGATTGGATTCAATAGAGAAAGCAGAATTATTTTGTGGAGAATATTTTAGAGGAAAAGAAGAGGAAAAAATACTAGAGGAGAAAATAGTTAAACTTCAAGAGGAGGTGGCTGAGAAAAGAAATAAATAAATGCAAGATGAAAAGAAAGAAGCAGTAGGTGGAAGGGTGGAACCTAAAGAGGCAAGAGAGCAAAGATCTACAAGAGCAATAAACCCTACATATAAAATATAAACAATAGAAGAAAAGAAATTGATTTCAATAAACATAAATGGATTGAACTCAGCCACCGAAATGAATAACATTTTTCATAAATTAGAAAAATTAAAATTAGATATAATTTGCTTACAAGAAGTTCACATAAAAACAGCATGCCCAGGTATTGAAATATCCTAAAATTGGGAATTTATATACTGCATTGGCACAACAACAACAACAAAAAAGAGGAGTTGTTTTATATATTAAGAATACAATTGGAGCCAAATCAATTTTTATAGATGAAGTAGGAAGAATATTAATGGTAGAAATCATTGATAATAATGTAAAGACACTTTTAGTAGCAATCTGTGCTCCCAATGAAAAACAAGAATAATTTTATAGAAAATTGCACAAGACAATTATAGAATTGGAGTGTATGTATTATGGGAGACATCAGCGTGATAATGGATATAAAATTGGACTATACAACACAGAAACTTAATTTAAAAAATAGAAAGACACTTCTGAAATCTTTTTTTAAAATGGTGGAGGAATTAAGCATTAAAGATGTTTGTAGAGAAAGGAATACTAAGAATAGACAATATACATTTTATTCTAATAGACATTTATCATGGTTGAGAATAGATATGATCTGGATGTCAACAGAATTAATTTCCAACATACGAGAGGTTAATATTGAAACAAGTACTTGGGTGGACCATAATCCAATATGGATGAAATGGCAGGGACAAAGAAAAAGATCAATATGGATTTTGAACAATACAATATTGCAAGAAAAAGAATTTATACAAAAGATGGGAAAACAACTGGACTTTTTAAAAAAGAAAATAATAGGGAGGACATTCCACTACAAAACTTATGGGACACAATGAAGGTCTATGTCAGAGGTTCGATTATAGATTATACAAGAAGAAGTATTTTAAAAAGGTGAGCACAACAGATATTAGACAAGGACTACAGAAGACTTGAGAAAGAACTTCAAAGATATCCACAAAAAAGAACATTAAAAATCAAATGGACACAAGAACACAAAATGGGGTTGATGGAAAAGAAGGAACTAGCCTAGAAAATCAGGAGTGCTAAACAGAACTTCTTCGAAAATGCAAACAAACCTGGCAGAGGGTTGGAATATAAATTGAAAAAAGAAAGAGAGAAAAAAAAGATAATACAATTAATAGATGATCAAGGAATGGTTTTAATGGAAATGAGGGAAAAAAGAAGATAGTGAAGAAATATTATGAGAAACTATATAATCAAGAAAATGTTGAAGAAGAAAAAAATTAAACAATACTTGCAAAGAGCGAAATTGCCCTAAATACCTGAGGATATTAAGGTAATGTTAGAAGGGAAAATAACAATGATGGAATTGTCAGAGGCATTAAACAGACAGAACACTGGAAAGGCCCTGGGCCCAGATGGGCTACCAGCAGAATTCTACAAGGCTTTATAAAAATTCTTAAGCATTTCAATGCTTGAAGTGATGAACGAGGTTTTGTCAAAAACTAAAATACATAATTTATGGACAGAGGCTCTTATACCAAAAGAGGATACTGCAACAAATTAAAAACTATAGACCGATTTCCTTGCTAAATGCAGACTATAACATTTTGCCTCAATAATGGCAGAAAGACTTAAGAGATATTTGAACAATTTTATACTTGCTGATCAAAATGGATTTCTGCCCAAGAGGCAAATCAAAGATAATATGAGAATAATTTTGAATACTTTAGAATACTATGAAGCACATTCAGAGAAGCAAATGGCCTTGGTATTTTTAGATGCACAAAAGCCTTTGATAATGTAAATTGGCAGTTTATGATATTACAAATGAAACAGATGATAAATGGAGATTTGACAGATAACATTAATATTTAAAAAAGGAGCTAGACAAGGATGTCCACTGTCACCTCTGTTGTTCATATTGACCCTGGAAGTGTTAAACAGAAATATTAGAGATAATAGTGAAATAAAGGGAATGAACATAAAAAAGGAGGAATATAAACTACAAGTGCTTGCAGATGATCTCGTGTTTATATTGGAGGAACTATTGAAAACAGCACCCAAGTTAATAGAAAAGTTTGAAGAATATGGGCAGGTGGCAGGATTGAAAATAAATAAAGATAAAACTAAGATATTAGTTAAAAACATGATGGAAAAACAAAGGAAAGAACTGACAGAGAGTTTGAACAGCCAGATCACAAGTTAAGTTAAATACTTAGGAATACAATCAACAGCAAGATGTGGAACACTGAAGAAAGACAATTACTATAAATTAAAACAACAGATTGTGACAAACCTGAAGAAATGGGAAAACCTACAATTATCTCTGATATGGAGAATATCAACAATTAAAATGAATATATTACCAAGGATATTATATTTGTTTCAGACAATTCCAATCAAATTAGGGAAAGAATGTTTTGATGATTTAAATAAAATAATATTGAAATATATGTGGCAGGGAAAGAAGGCAAGGATAAAACTTAAATTGTTATAGGATGCTAGAATAAGAGGAAATTTTGGATTACCCAATTGGGAATTATATTACCAGGTGATAACATTGATGTGAGTGAAAGAATGGATTGTTTTGAGGAATACTAGATTGTTAACATTGGAAGATCATGATTTGTTATTGGGATGGCATGCATTTTTATGGTATAAGGAAAGTAAAACACATGGGTATTTTAGAAGACATTATATTCTAGATGCATTATTGATGATGTGGGAGAAAATAAGAAAACAACATTATATGAAAATACCAGTCTGGTTATCAACTATGGAGGCATTTGCTTATACAATTGTTTTTAAAATGGAACATACAGTGAGATATGGTGAATTATTAAACGAACAGGGTGAACTCAGAACAAAGCAAGAACTAGAGGAGCAAGAAATAAAGATGAATTGGTACTCATACATTCTAAATACAATAAAGATAGTGGAACAGAAGGGTTTTATAATGAACTTATTGAATTAGATGAAATTTTAACAGGTACTGATGAGAGGATGATCAAAAAGTTATATGGTTATTTACTTGGAGTGAAGTTAGAAGAAGAACAAGTCAAAGAAACAATGATTGCTTGGGGGAAATTTTAGTATCCATCATGTTTACATTTAACAGGTTATGCTATTCTAATAATACAGTTGTATTATTACTAAATATTATTACAATTATTTTACATTCAATTTATAGCATACTTTCATATATTTACATAGTTATTTACACAATTATACATAGTTATACTTAGTCATACAATATTGTTTCATCTCACCTAATCTTTCTTTCATTTCTCTATTTTGTGTCTACCTTGTAACCAATTATACCATAGATTCCAGGTTTCATGGTACTCTATTTCTTCTTTCTCCTTCATTTCCATTGAAAGCCTGTCCATTTCTGAACACTCTAAAATCTTTTTTATTATTGTAGTGTCGGAGGGAATACTGTCACATTTCCAATTCTGTGAAAAGGCTATTCTTGCTGCAGTTATTATATGTAATATAATATATTAGAACTTCTTACTAATTTTATCTTTTAATATACCCAATAGGAATGTCTCTGATCTCAATTCAATTTTCTGTTTTATAATTTCCTCCAACCAACTCCTAATTTTGAGCCAATTATTTTTAGCTTGGGGGCAAGTCTATCACATATGGAAATAGGTTCCCTGTTCATAATTACATTTCCAACAATTTGCCAATCTATTAGAGAACATCTTAGCCAATCTTGCTGGGGGCAAGTGCCAGTGGTAGAACATTTTATATAGGTTCTCTTTGTAAGCTGCTGATAAGGTCAGTTTATAATTTACTTCCCATAGTTTTTCCCAATCTTCCAAATTGATGCTATTTCCCGATAGGTGGTTACTTGGCTAATTTGCTTGTCTAGGCTTCTTCTGAAAAAAGAACCAGCATCCGCTCAGGAAAAAGGGGTAACTTCCCATTGATTCTCCTGAATTCACAGATGTGTTCCTTGATGGGTCGCCCTCCCTGCTTTAGGTTGCTGAGTTCATCTTCCATGTATAGGTCCTCCTCTGTCTCCTCAACTTTGACCTCTAGCAGTTGTAGGAAGTCATCTGCATCCTGCAGTTTGGGGCCCTCTCTTGTGGAGGGTTGCTAGCCATCCTCTTGCTTTTTGCTCCAACCCCTCAGAAATGGCATTCACCATGGCTCTAAGGGAGGGGTAGAGGTATCCATAGCATTCTAGGTGGATCTCAGCTGAGTCAAGGAATAGAGCTAGCTGGTCTGGGTCCCCATCAAATTTCCCCCTGAACTGGGGTGGTTCATTGAGCACTGCTCCTTCCTCCTCCTGTCACCCTCTATAAGCCTGTGCTCGAGGTGGCTGGCCTTCTCCCCCAGCTCTATTTGGCACAGGGGGAAGGGGGTTGCCTGCTGCATGGAGGAGGCACTGGTTGCAGCTTCAGACTCCTTTTTCTTCTGGTGGGTGGAGAAGGAGGGCTGTGGTCTCACCTGCTTCTCCTCAGTTCAAAGGGCTCTGTAAAAACTCCCCTCTGGTTTGGGCAGTGTGATTGGCTGTCATCCTGAATAGTGACCCGGTCAGTTCCCCCACTCAGTTGCTCCATGGATCTCTCCAGGGATTCCGTCAGGGCTTTTGGGGCCCTGTCCTGTGCCCAGTCCCACATCTAATCCACTCTTCCCAGTTCACTCAAGGGCCTTCTCCCTTTTTGGGCCTGGGGATGGGGAAACTCAGCCTCAGAGGCCTTAGGAATTTTCTTTTTCCACCAGTACTCATCTGGTTTTCTTTCCTCCACTGGAGCAGGTTTCTCTGCTTCGGAATTCAGTGGGGGCTTACCTCCAGCTTTAATTATGCTATCAGCTTCTGTTTGCTTTTGGCTGGAGGCCAAGTCTGTTTCTCCTCCTGATAGCCCACCCTCTGCCATGGCTGCCTGAGTTTCTCTCTGTGTACCCCAGATTTCGTGGACTGATCAAAGAGGCGGGAACCCAGGACCCCAGTAATATTGATTTAT